TTTTTTTTTTTTTTTTTTTTTTTTTTTTTTTTTTTTTTTTGTACTTGTTTTTTACATGTTTGCACTGAGTTTGCCCTTGTATTTGTTTTACAATAATTTTTTTACAATGCCGTTATGGATATCGATTTTTGGATGGTAAAAACAACTTCTTATCGGAAAAAAAAGAAGAAGAAAACGCAAAACGACATACAGGCAAACCGCATTTTGAATTTCTCTTTTCTGACAGGTGCTGCAAACAACAATGGGCCTGGCCTATCATTACGGTTTGTTTATCCTTACCGTAACCATGGCGATAGCTCAAGGTAAATCTGTTGGCTTATTCTGTTATGACAGTAAATCGTTTAGATGATATCTGTTTGTTACAGTTTTAAGAATGTTATGATGAAAAACACAATATTGCAAATGTTTTATCATATACCAATTTCAAAGAATGTTTTCAAAGCCAAAGGCGATATCGATAGGTGATAATCTGCCTTAGTATGGCCCAATGTGTAATATATGTCCTTACTTAGTCACCCTCAGTATATCGCCTAAGTTTATCATGCCCCTATTTTTAGATAATTCCTTATTTCGCCTATAATTGTCTTATATTGTTTATGTCATTCCTTACGGAGTGGTAAGAAAACAAAATAAGCCTCTCATCGTACTTTTAAAAAATCTGTGATTTGAGCAGGTGCTGGCCATAAACAATTGTGACAGAATAAATGATTTCCTCTACCTTATGTTAAACCTATTGTTTCATAATTTATTTGGATTCATTTCAATAGACCTTTCCCAAATACGCTTGACTGGTCACGAAACAATGGTTTCAAGTCGAGGTTGAACTTGATGAGTAAAAGAATCAAGTTCAGCCTCGACTTCAAACCATTGCTTCGTGGTCAGTCAAGCGAATTTGGGAAAGGCGTATTGTCGGGTTTGACAAGATTGATCTAGAAAAATTATCTTTCTTATTTTTAAAGTAATACGAAAAAAGTTTACGAAAAAGCCGAGCTCAATAAATGCTTTTTATAGCTTGACAGATCGAGTTGATTCCAAGTGTTCCCCACTGTATATTGACCACCCTGGTCAGTATGTTTGCTTCTTCTGTTGTTCGCTGTCAAACACTAGTTCCCTCACACTGCGCATGCCCAAAACTTTATTTGCGCGAATTTGATTTCAGTTGGGTTAACCAATCAGAATTTGCTAATATGATTCAAAAGAATGTTTGGTGTTTGCGCCACATTCCCTCATTAATAGTGGGCTTAATGAAGTGGGTTTAATGGGCTACATCATCATCAATGCCAGAAGGCGCATGAGGCCGTGAAAAGGATAACAAGCGCCCCAAAAACTAGGCAAAATCCCTAAAATTTGATTGCTTAATTCTATATTTTGCTATTATTGCAGGCGGTTGTCCATCACCATGTTCCTGCCACCAAAGTGGCTCATATTACGTCACAGATTGCACAGGAAAGCAATTGGCCATGGTTCCTAATGGGATATTTGATAATAGGACAACTGAACTGTGAGTCAAGTTGTATCTCTCTTTGGAAGCGTGCGCTAGTGTAGGTTCCAATACAAATCCTTTAATAAAAGCTGGATGTCAAGAATGTGCTAAGGCTTTAATGGGCAAAATATCAAGAATAAAAAAGGCTTTTACATAGGGAAATCAGTCACATATAATTATTGTTCACTACCTTTACATACTTTGATTGATATCAGTGTATTGCTCGATTTCCATGTCGGGACTGTAGTCTCGATCATCGCGAAGCAATAAAAAACAGCAGTAATTGCATTCTCTCTGTCCTTACTTTACTTCTTCTTATTGGCTCTTTGTTAAGGTTTTCACCGCGATGTCTTTATTCCATTTAAGAGACTGCTCAGGAGTTGCTAAAAGCTGCATTTTTTTGAACGAAAAGCATACGATAATATTGGTTACAAACAAGCGAATTGTCAAAGACTTACAAAGCTGAATAAAGGACAACTATATGTTGTAATATTCTCTCCGTGTTATATTTCATCCAGCATTCATGAAATATAACAATAATATACGATTGTTTGCTTTAAAATACACATCTGAATTCTTGAAGAACACTTCTTGATCCATCTTTGACTACATCAAAGTTTTTAAAATTTTTTGTTGGTCTATAAAGTGTCCTCAAGCGATTTTTTCTGTGCATTTGAAAGCCGCATTTGCGAGGAGTTTTGCTTTAACATCAAGCGGGATCCCTGTGTTGAGTACACGGACGGACTTATGTACGTATGTACGGACGSACGGAAGTGATGTCAGTGTATTTATTGATCTATTATCCATCTGACTATTTTCGCATTTAGATATCTATCAAATAACCAACTGATGATGTTACCTCCTGGAATCTTTGACCACAACCAAAAACTCTATCTGCTGTAAGTTAAATGTCATACAAGTAAAAATGTTGTTAGGCTTTTAAAAAAGAAAGGTTTAAATGCTATTCAACCTTTTGCGTTAATTGTAAAGACACTCGATTCTTAGTTCATTCGATTCGCCATTGATTCATTTATTAACTTTTTCACTCTCCCATACANTATTGTTAATTTTTTTTCTCCCTTCTATTTCAGAAATCTACATTATAACAAACTGACTTCACTTCCTGTTGGTATCTTTGATAACAATACCCAGCTTAAATCTTTGTGAGTTTTTTATTGATATCTGTAGACAATTTATGTCAATGTCAACATAATTATTGCAAAAAAGAGCGCCCTGTTAACGTTACGCTGCAGAGAAATGTGTTTAAATTGAAAAAAAGAATTTGATATAGTCATATAGATATTACAATACAACTTTATAATTGTATTAATATTTATATGAACAATTTTACAGTAAACTGTTTTTTCTGATAAAACAAAACAAAGTAAAAATTTTCAATAGCGTAACGTCAAAGTGAAAAACTTTAATAGTCGTTAATCCTTTATTAATCGTTATTATTATTATTATTTATTATTATCATTATGATACTTGATTTAAATACACCTTAATAGTCTATGCATGTCTTAATAGAAATAGAAATACACTCGCTCCAAAGCTACTAAAGTTCAAATGCTTAATATTTTATCATGTGTTTATTTCAACTTCAGACATTTTTGCTACATGAATACAGAATATTGCGGGCATGAATAGTCTAAGCAAATGTCTGCATGACTGGTTTTACAAAGATGTATACAAATTTAACAATTGTACAGACGTTTCACAATCTCACAGTTCTGTGAAATAACCCATTTCTGACACTTTCTTACAATTTTTACACCATCAGTGAGGCCTACATCAGCCAGTTTACTAATCAAATCCGTGTGATACCCAGATAGAAAATCAAATGCTATGTTGACTTGCGTTACTTTATATCCAGGGTACATTCTTTTAAGACTAGATCTTAAGGCAGTATATTTAACAGTTTTCTTTTTATCCCTATCAAGTATCTCTCCTACATTACAGACTGTTCCTTCAAATATAATCCATTGCTTGTCCTTCTTACTCCGCACAAGGATGTCTGGTTTATTTGCACCGCCTTTTGGAGAGCTGTCTTGGTAGATAGGGATATTCCACAGTACTTTTGCTTCATCATTTTCGACAGAGCTCTTTGGGGGTAGTTCTTTGTGCCAAGGTGTTACGTTGTCTTTATCATCAGAAAGTTCAAACTTCTTAAGTATCGCGTGATACACAGGTCTAAGCATGTGATCATGTCTTGATGTGTAGAGCGATTGGGCTATGGCCGAGCATTTAATTGCACATGATGTGTGCAATACTCTCATCTCCAGATTGGCAAAGCCGACATTTCAGATCTTCTTCTTCACCTTTCAGTTTCTTTACGTTATAGACTTTAGTTGGCAATAGTTGTTGAATAATACTTGTGTGAATACTGTAAACAACAGTTGGAATGTTTTTCCAGACTTTTGAGATGTCACACCATTCTTTGTGCAGGTCTTTGTTTTTCCACTGTTTAGGCATGAATTGTCCAACCCAGGGTTGCTGTTCAACTTCGACTTCGTACTTTCTCACTAATTCGTTCTTTAAGATGGATTTCCTAGTGATACTTTTAGGTTGACAATTATTCACTTCTATAACTGTGTCGTTGGATGTTAAGATAGATTTCTTGCTTTCGGCATTATACGTTATGTCCACATTGAATTGAGCTGCAAATGTTCTTGCGTCCTTGATGATAGATCTTAAGGATTTCATTTCTTTGGCGTCTTGGTACGTTCTTACTAGCTCAACATGTGGATCAGAGCTGCATGTGATGTAGTGGGCGAGTTTTATCTTTGTGGTCTTGTACAGGCTTTCGATTTCAGTCAGGCCTTTGCCTCCTTTAGTAGTTGGAAGATAGAGGAGGGGTAGAGATTCATGCTTGTGTTTACAGCCGCAGTCATTAATAACTCGACGGGTTCGTCTTTCAAGTTCTTTAAGTTTGTCTATAGGCCAGTCAGTAGACCACATGTGGTGTTGCAAAACGGGAATAGCAAACGTTTGATTAGCTTTGACTTTCCGTGGAATAGATAAAAGTGACGTCCAAATTACCAGAGATGCGTCTGATGTACTCTTTACTTGCTGCTTTCTGAATTTCCTTCTCAAGTTGACTAAGTTCTCAAACTTTCCAAGATATTTATAATAATCATCTTCTCCAAGTACGGGTATGTTCGTATCATTACTGAGTG